ACCTCATTTTTGTGGGTCCCGGCAACAAGCCCGTTCGAGACCCACAAAACGCAGCCTTCTCAGTCTACCGTCCAGCCCCTTCCGCCAAGCCCTGCCAACCAGATTCTATGAGGCCCAACTAAGCCCTTTGAAGGTCTTTCACTTGTGGCTCGTGACCGGCCCAAGCCATGTTCCGGGACCCACAAACTGCCCAACCAAGCCCTTTCAAAATCCACAACTTCTGGGTCCTGTAATGCAACCCCCGCTGCATTTTTGTGGGTCACAAAAGTGCAGCTTTCCCAGCCTACCATCCAGCCCCCTTACAAAGCCCGCATGAGCCCACCTCTCCGCCGTGACAGCAAGCGCCCTCGCCGTCTCTATGCTTTGCACACTAAACCATCCTAAATTAAACCCTTCAAACCAAGTATCTTGTAGTCAGATTTACGGAAAGAGACTTTTCTTTTCAAAATGGCCGCAAGTGGCCAAATCTGCACGCTGGTTGGCAGGCGGGAAGGGCTTGGTTGAAGGGGCTGGCAGACTGCGAAGGCTGCGTTTTGTGGGTCCTGGGCTGGCTCGTCGCCGGGACCCACAAAATGCAATAAAGTGCACTTCAAGACCCAGAAGTTGTGGATTTTGGAAGGGCTTGGTGGGCCGGAACATGGCTTGGGCCGGTCACGAGCCACAAGTGAAAGACCTTCAAAGGGCTCAGTTGGGCCTCATAAGGGGACCTTTTCGAAGCCTCTACCCTGCATTGCAGCATTATTGCAGCCCTCAGCGTCGGCGTCGTCTTCTTCCTCCTCCCCCTCCTCCTCCTCCTCTCCTCCTCCTCCTCCTCTTCGTCCTCCTCCTCGTCGTCGTCGCCGTCGCGTGTAAGTCAGGACGTGGTTCTTTGTTTTGATGAGCCTTGAAGCCGAATGGCTCCGTGGAGCAGGTGTAAACGCAAGCAACAAAAAGAACTTTGGGGGGGGAACCCCCAGACGCAGAAACAGAGTGAAAAAGAAACAAGGCCATGTTATCCCCCCCCCAGTCAATAAGGAAAAGAACTTGAAAAACACGTTCTTTAGGGTACCCCCCCCCCCTCCCAAGTACTTTTTAACGGACCCCTGATCCTTTTTGTCGGTTTGCATGGTCCGCGCCTGTTGTTTTTATGGCCAGCAGTTTTACGGACCCAGGGTCCGCGCAGCTGCAAGTTGCTTGGTCGTACGTTCGGTGACAGTATTATGTGCTACGGATGCGGGCCTCCCTGACCTGCTGATGTAGTAAGGCAACGTTTCAGCTGCGCGCTTGAGCCTCACTCGCCTAAAGTTATCTAAAGTTACCCACCTGAGCCTCCCAGGCCCGCATTGTAAGGCACAGTTGCCGCCTGAGCCTCCCTGGCCTACTTATTAAGGCCTGAGCCTACTTGGGCCTGAGCCTCCCGGGCCTGCTTAGTAAGGCAACAACATTTCAGTACAGTAGCCCGCCTGAGCCTTTATTTAATGAGGCCGGTACAGTTGCCCGTACGCCTGCCGTCTGGAATGTTGTACTGCCTGAGGGCCGTCCTACCAAGCTGGTGCTAAAATCTATCTACCCCACTTGCGGGGTGGGAAATGACAGAAACACACCAGAGCGTGCATGAAAGCAGTCTATTGTGGGGGATATCACACGGGTTTCTTTGATGTTGATGCATTGTTGAACCTTGTCTTCCCCAGCGCTACAGGTGTCCGCATTTTGTGTGTTGCATGCGATGCTGCACGGGGTTCGTCGCTTGGATCAACTGGCTTTGATGCAGAATTAAAAATCCAGGACTGTTACAGAGAGCAGGCTACCGCCAGGTGGAGGCTCTCGAGCCCTTCGACTTTTCGCCCCTCGGTGTTCACATTTCAAGCGTTTTTTCCGGGTCAGCCTTCAGCATTGGCTTAGTTGGTTCAGGAAACGAGCTCGGAAGCTCGCTAGACCAACAATATAAGCGGCTTAGTAACGAGCACCGCGTTGTCGAGCTTTCGGAACTCAAATATGAAGGGGGCTCTGAAACACGATTCCGGACAAGAATGCTGAAAGGTTTTGCTTGATGCCGGGGGGGGGGAGGGGCAAGGAGGTGCATGCCATGCGTGGGCCAAGTAAGGCCCCTGCCACCGGCGGCCGGGAGTACGCACCCCACGCCTTGTAAACTTTTAGGTGCTGAGTGCCCAGTGGGCCCTGGTGAGGTTGAAGGCGCACTGAACCCCACTCACGACACAAAAACATCGATGCAGTACAGTAGGTCTGCAGCACCGGTTTGAGCTCCCGTGGCAACTTTCAACTCCAGGGCCGACAGCCTTGCGAAAGCTCGTGGCAATCTGCTATCCATTGCGATGATACTCTTCTGCTGTCTGAAAGTGCGTGCAACGTAAAGCGACATGTCGAAGTGTCCGGCATTGCAACACTTTCACATACTTTCACACAAGCATAAATACAGCATCATCAAACCGACAAAATGGGCAGTGTACAGCCTCTCGAACAACGGGTCCAGCTTCCGTTGCTTCCTGGGAGTCAGGAACTCAGAATAATTGGCAAGTTCCGCTCATGCGTGAAGAAATGCTCTGCGCTAGCTGTACAAGTTCTGTTGTACAAGTTCTCGAGGGTCGAGAATTCGGATGACGTGCGAAGATTGACTCAGTAGGGTGGTCACTCGACTATCGAATCCAAGGCTCTGCTGCTGCTTAAGCCTCGCGTCCAACTGTCTCAGCTGTAGCTGGATCTGGCGGGTCAGCGAGATGCATTGACTCTATTGACCGTCCCTCCCTTTCTACACCGGATGAGTGTCGATATCATGCATACGGTACACTTGTGATATACGGTGGCAGCCTCAGCAGTCTTGGTGGAATTCCCCTGCATCTTTGCGCATCGCTCACGAAGAGCATCTATGGAATCCTGTGCATGCTGCTCCCCACCGCATGGTCACCGCGCTATGGAACACCTACACGATATGGCAAGCAAGTGACAAATACCTGCCCTTGCGTGGCGAAACCGGAATGAGCACTCAATGACATGACGCGCTGCACTCAGGCAAGCGGAAACCACCATGAGTTGTTAACACGTAAAGCACGAGGACTTGTCAACGAGTTCTTCCTTTTCTGCAGTTGTTGGGTTTTCCGGGATACAAACAAGGTTCCGTTTTGATAGTGTTTTTCCCCGCTTTTGCCTCTCACCTCTGGTCTTCTTCCACTTCAACCGCCAGCAAACAATCAATATCATGAGTCATCATGAGAAATGACTGCTGTGTCTTTCCGCCCAAGGGGTGAAGTACAGTAACTTAAGCAACTGCGAGGGAGCGAAAGACGACACCGGGAAATAGCTTAGATTTTCTTTCACAGTGGTTTGCTTACACAGTCGGGCCTACTGCTAAACTGCCATGTGCTCAGCCTCCGTCCGAAGACTGTGGAAAAATTTGGTAAACTTCAGCACGGATCAACAGCATTGTGCGGTGGATCGTGGGGCTCTGCACGACATGGCACGGACGTTGGTGGGGAAGGAGGTCTGGGGCAGTGGAAGACCATGGCGAGTGCGTGTGGTGCAGCATCCCAGTCAAGAGCAGCCACCTTCAGACTCTTTGGCCGCTCCTCACCCGACGCATAGCGCCAACCGTTGCATGTTGCTGGAAGCAATGTCGACATGGTGCCGTGCTAACTTGATGTATTCCAGGCAGCCAGACTCAGATGCCTGGGCCGTCACTGACAACGGATGCAAGCTGCATGTTCCCGGGTAGCACAATAAGAAATGCCAAGGGAGGTATCGGCCGTGATTAAGCCAGGGTGAAGTCTGGAGAGGGCAGGTGCGCACAACAAATGCGGCGAGGCTTCCTTCCGTGCTCCGGCACTTTCTGCTGTGGCTATACCCCTATTCAAGTCAGAGGCGCTTGAAACGAAACCGTGCAAACTTGTTTCTAGCTACGAGAGTCATCCGGAGCACCAACAGATATCGCATCAACGACCGATTCGTTTTGCAACAATTGCGTCGCGTGTTTCAACACATGCATGTATTGTGCATATGAGGGGTGATCAACATTTTTCATCTGGGGCTGGGTATACAACTGCAATGCAATCGCTTAAAAGCTTGGCTACCAGTCGCTGAGGCAGCGAAAGGCTTGTGACCTGCATGCCTGCAGAGTGATGGCATGCTCCGTGTCAGCTTGACTTTCATGATTTTCGCGGATTGCCGCTTTCGTTTCGCAGACACACCGCGAGACTTTCGCGGACCATTTTTTGCTTTATCGAAAGTCCGTTTTATGCAAAACCAAAGACCCGGACCTTTAGATCAACCCTCATATGTCAGACCGTGCTCTGAAACATCAGTGGGTGTCACGTTACTTGCAGACGGCAGCAGGGTGATATAGGGTGCTGCTTTGTGCTCTTAACTGCTACAACTTGACGTCTGTCGGTCTGATTCTGCGCGTGAAGAAGCAAGTCCAGCTCCTTGTGGTGCTTTATAAGATCCGCATTGTGGTTGTGCGCCAAGATGGTTTGATGCAGCTCCTCCAAGGAAGAAGCACATCAAAACAGCACAAAGCACGACTGGCTGTAGTGGCGTTGCATCACAAGCGCTTCACCACCAAGAGTTCAACATCTAATCTATGCGTTACTTGCACACTGCATCAACGGTTAACCAACGTCACTACTGGTGATTTTCTTGGAATACTTCCGGCCGGCGCACTCACATCAGTGCAAGAGCATGCTCCATTTTCGACTTGCATCCGTCGACGTTACCGATCCATTTGGCAGGGTAGACTTCTTCCTGCAGGACGCACGTGGAAATACAGCTTGTGCACATGCGACACGCCGACGCAAGCACAGTCCGTCAGGCGTCATGTAGTTCTTACTGACGCTGTCAAACTCGGGGTGTGCACTCCTGCCGTGGCTTCATCGTTTCAATCATTGCACGTGTGGGCTGCGTATGATTGTCAATATAGCAGCATCTTCTGACGTTTTCTGGGTGTTCAAGTTCGTTGGCCTGCAGCCCTCCTGACATGCAAAGGTCTTACATGCTAATTGCAGCCATGGGGCAAGAAATGCGAGCTGGCATCTTCCTGTAAGTGCACGTGAATCGGCGCATGCCATACCCACTCACAAAATCAATGGCATGAGCGATGCGAATGAACAGTTCTCGGATTGGCATCTCTACGGAATGTCGGATAGTTCAAAGACGTGCACTGACATTGCTTCCAAGCAATTTTCCCACTGGAGCGATCTAGATTCATGCCCAGCCTTCGGTGCTGTGCCATGGCCAGATGAGAAGCTTCTTGAGAAAATGTGGCCGACCTCGGAGAGCCCGAAAGCAAGATGAAGCAAGAACATTCGAAGGTGCTGGATGCTGTTGAATATTAACCGCAATAATTCTTCCACATTGAACAGTGACATCTCTGAGACGAGGAGTTGAGCGCAGGATAGTGCAGGCAGGAAACCAATGTCGTCTCGTTGAAAAGGGTGGCCTCGGTTACTCGGTTTTGTCGCCGCGAAATATAGTGTAGAGAAAACTGTCGAACAAGCATGACTGCAACCGGGCAACACAGGTGTGCTTCTCCTTAGAGGAAGGTTCGACACTGCACTCCATCCATCCAATCTTGAGCAATCTGTGCTAGACATTGTTAGACGCCCTTTCTGGCTGCGAGCTGTTGCCATGAATGCGGTTCAATGCAAACCAGAAATCCCATCCATGTAGCGCGTTGAAAAAGTGGTAAAGCCGCCTGAGAGAACTTGGAGGCGCAGTGCATTTCAATGATCAATTTGCACCACTGGCCAGTGTGTGACCACTCGTAACAATCAGTCGAAACTGCGAAACCTGCTCAGAGGCTGTGGTACGCGGGAAGATTCGAACTCAGCATATGCGTCCTTGTATTGGCACTCTGCAAGATCATGTGGCTTTTCACGCCATGCCACAACAGCCTTAACAAAAGCGTCCTCGAGCTTCTGCTTGTGTTCCAACACAAATTCGAAACGGTCCGGATTGAATGACTCGTTGCCGCTGTAGCCTTGTTCGCATGTGTAGACACAAAGGCCAGCAGGTTGCAGCGGGAACCAATGAAGAACACCATACACATGCATAGCGGCTAAGCGCGTTGAGAAAGCGTAACCCAACCGGCGCCAAGATGTGCCAAGTAGTAGCAATCAAAGCCAGTGCATCTCCAAAGATGATCGCGGCTTGTGCCAACTGCAGGAACGTTGAACACGCTTGGATTGAATACGTGCGAACTGTTTTTGTTCCATGCTAGTCGTGAGATGGTCGAGAGCATGAACGCTTCTTCCATCCGTGCCACGCTGTTGTTTGAACAGTGTAAGTGTACGTGCGTGCGTGCGTGGGTGTGGGTGTGAGTATATTGCGCGTGCGCGTGCCTGCTGCGCGGGCGAGAGCGCGTGCGTGCGCATGCACGCCCTTGTGTGCGTTTGGGTGAGTCCATGGCTGCGTGACGGTGCATGGATGCATGCATTTGTTGCATGCGTGCATGCGCTTGCGAAGACTCCACAAATCTGCAATCTTGGTTTGTTCCTGACCTTGCTTCTGCACCGTTCTGATTCTGCCGACTCACGGTTTGGTCAAGGTCGGATATCGACATGAGCAGTGCTATGTCAGTGATATCGATATGAGCAGCACTATTCAGTGATGGAGATGCAATGCAATAGCAAGGGGCACCACCATCCACCATCCAATGGTGTGCCAAGCAGTTGGTTTTCTCTCGAAGATGCACTAAATGTGAATTCGCTGATATCACGAGACTTGAAGAGCAAAAGGCTGGTACTTAGACACTGTTGAAGGATACCTTCGCAAGATGCTGTTCGATCCTTCAAGCATCATTCAAGACAAAAGGATGGCGTGAAGTAATTACCTGAATATTGCCAAAGGTTCTCAAGCTCCGCCGTAACATTAGATACCTCTTGAACGGTGCTCGGTGCCTCTGCATGTTGCAGAAGCATGGCAAGTGCCAGGCACAACTCTTATCCAATCGGCAGCCGACTCTAAGAGCAGTGCTGAGCTGCGATCGGAACGCACAGAAACTAACATCCGAGAAACAGAAAGTTGAGTCGGGATGTGCTGCTTCAAACACCTTGTGGGAAATCCACTCGCCCAGTCCTTGTTTCAGCTAGGCAGGAGCAGCGGTTCACATGCATGCGGCAAACAAACACACTGGGTCCTCCCCAAGGGATGTGGCACTGCTCCGTCTCGTCTGCAAAGCCTGCTCAGCAGGATTTGTTGTGGTCTTGTATGTCTTGTAAACAACTTGCTTTGTCAGTTCACTTGTCTAGAACAAGAAGTTCAAAATGACAGATTGCGACAACTGTGCACGTCCCAAAACCACCAGCCGACGAACGACGAAGGCCACCACAACAATATTCGTAAAATCATTCACTTCATATCGTGTCATTCACTCATGTCTTCATTTGTGCATTCATTCCGTTTTGCTGCCATGTGCACTCGATATCAGTATTTTTCGAATAAATCATGTCGAATACATATTCATTCTGGTTGCTCCTTCGTGCATTTCATTTCACTTCACTGCGTTCGTTGTTTCATTTGAGGTCCATTTCCATTTTCCCGTTTTTTTAGTGCATTCATCGGTACTTGTCTTTTCCAGTGAGGGCACGTGCTTAAAGACCTGAAAGACCTTGCCCAGCCAAAATTCAGTGCAGGGCCCTGGCTGAGGGTGGTTTAATGTAGTTTGCGCAAATGGCTGCGAGTACGGCACGCGGCTGGTCTATAGCAGTTTAGCCGAACTGGGCTGAAAGAGGGAGGCTTTGGCGTTTTAGCCAGCTGATGCCAGCTGCACTCCAGTCATGGCCCAGCCGACAGGTGCATTTCGCAATGGCTGCCTGACATCGGTTCGGGCACGTGCCAGCTGAGGCTCCAACTCAGGTATTACTTAAAGCAGCGCCACCAATAATCCAGCTTGCAACCGTGCGTTGGTGTGGCTGCTGCCACAACTAGCATATTGCGACGAGCTCATTTGGGCACCTTATGCTGAACCACTGTAGACTGAACACAGCCAGCAAACTGCAATGACCGGCTCGATTCATCTGCAGCACAGAGTCCAATCAATCTAGGCAGATGGGAGACCAACCCCTTGGCCCATTGGCAAAGCTGAAGGCACATGCAAGAATCTCCCTGTCCTGAGAGAGCAACAGCCCAGCTGCGAGATCAGACGTGCTAGTATTGCTGATGATCTTTTCGCGTCCCAAAGATCTCGGCAGAAATGCTCTCATCTAACAACCAGAAGAAGGCTGCAATCCTATGATGTTTGCGAAAAGTACATGCTCTGCTTCTGTTCGACTGTAATCGGTTGACACGAAGAACAGCTAAGCTACTATAGGATTCATTGCAAAATCCGTTCCTTCTGAATGTTGACCACGACCATGACCACCACCACGACGACGACAACAACAACCACAGCAGCAGAAACAGCATACATCAGCAACCGCCGGGTCGGCAGCAAATCGGGGCTGCTTTGGAGCTTGTCCCCTCCCGGGGCCGGGATGTGGCAAGAAAACGGGATAGTACTTCTGATCGCGTGACCCCACGGGATGCCGATGTGTTCTTCCAGAAACTGATGTGAGGACAGATAAGCATGGCCACAAACAAACGTAGCTGCAGCTATGCTTCGCTGCATGTAACTCTCTTCCAACCATGGCCAAGCAGCAACAAACTCTCTCTTCCTTCTTCTCCGAGATGTCGCAGTGACGCATGACCTCATGAGAGGTGTTTGTGGGGCAGGCTGTGAGCAACTAGAAGAAAAACGCTATACTCCGAACATCCCCACCCTAAAGCCACTTCGCTCTGCAGGATGCTGTGTGACACATGGTGATACAAATATCTGGGGGTGGACACTCTTGAGATGCTCTGCAGAATTCAATAAGGGGATGCAGAACTTTGCAGATTCTTTGCAGAGTTTTCTGGCATTCTAGGGATATTCTACGGCATTCTCTACTGGTCCTATTGGTTTCTCTGAGGGGCGGGCCCTCCTGGAGCATTTTTTTGTGGATGGGAACTGCAAGGACAGTCTGGGGGATTCTCTGTGGATGTTAGAGTTGTATACCCACGCTGGGTGATTCGGGCGAGATTCGGGCGAGGGGTGCAGGAGACCCGGGCGAGGAGAATGGCCGACTGCAACTCTAACAGCCCCACGCCCAGAAATTGGAACAACCCGACCAGTCTTGCCGATCCGTGCATGTCTCTGAATTCAGTCAAAACCCGTCTTTGCCGACTTACATTAGAGATCCAGCCTTATAGGCCAGGATGGCCTTATCCAGTTCTACGACTGCGGAGACTTTATTTATGGCAAGCTAGATTGGCTTTCATAAATCCAAGGCGCAGCAGCTTTTTGTGCTTCCCAAACTGCTCGATGGAAGGAGCTGCCTTTTCGACCTTTTTAAGCAAGCTCCTTTGTTAGCGCAACTGGGGATCGGAATTTTGGGGCGCGCCTTTCAACTTCCTACCGCAAACGCCCAAGGGAGTAGTAGAGTGGAGCGGAGTGGAGTGGAGGCGGTGCAGAGGAGTGGAGTGGAAGGCGACCAAGACCAAAGGTTTGGCCGAGAGAAAATGGTATCACCTCCAGCCAAACGGCCTACGGATCAAACCAAGAGGAAGCAGAATTGCACTCCCAAACAGTTATCCGCGGAGGCCTCGGGCCGAAGGTGTATAGGTTGTCAGAACAGGCACAAGCCAGGCCTGCCTGCCCCCCCCCCCCCCCCCACCCCCCCACCCCCCCCCCCCCCCTGCCCCCCCCCCCCCCCTGCCCCCCCCCCCCCCCCCTGCTGCCCCCTCTTGCCCCCCCTGCCTGCCCCCTTTCCTGTTCGCCGCCCCCGCCCCCTGGCCCCCCCCCCCCCCCCCCCTGCCCCCCCCCCCCCTGCCCACCCCCCCCCCCCTCCTGAACCTTGACCTTGAACCTTGAACCTTGAACCTTGAACCTTGAACCTTGAACCTTGAACCTTGAACCTTGAACCTTGAAGCCTAAACCAAAAAAAAACCTAAACCCCAAACCGTGAACCTTGAGCCCTAAGCCCCCAAACCATAAACCATAAACCCGGAACCCTAAACCCTAAACCCTAAACCCAACCCTTATTGCTTGGGGTCCAGCGACTTGGGCGCTGCGGAATCATCATGCTCACGCGGATCTGGGCCGGGCCGAGGCGGGTCGCGTAGCGTTAAAAATTAAATAAACTGGCCGCACATGTCCATCAAGGTGAACATTGAAAATCGCCAAGCAATTTCACAAAGAACTGGCCTCCGAGGAAATTAGACGAAAATCCTGGCGTGGACAACTGTGGACAATCAACATGCGCCATCGATCGACATCCGGCCAATTTGAGTAAGCTGTTGCTGGAAGATCGGATTGAAGGATTCTCGTTTTTTGCAGCAACCGATCGCGCTACGAATCCGCTCCGGTAAGGGGCGGCAATGGAGTGGCATCATCTTCTATCATCTTCTCGTGGTTTGGATTTAGCATGAACTCACGCCTCGCGCTGAAACCGGCGTCGAAACCATAAACCGAAGCCTGGGCTGAGCGAAGCCTGTGATTTGATACATTATGAGGGAGGTCCATTTGCAACGTTTTGCAAACAGGCCTTGCCACACTTGACCAGCATCACATATCCGTAAGCGATGCAAATATTCGGAATATGTTCCTACCGTAAACTACAAGGTCCTGGCGTCCTATGATTAACATGTGTCAAAGACGAAACCTGTTGAATGAACATTTCCTCCTTTCTGTCCTTGGCACTTCTCGTGGTCTCGGCCGTAGCCGTCGCTGTAAGAGACCAGGTCCAAGTGCTGAACTTTCTCTACCTGCAGAAAAAACGCGCGCGGTGCACTGCATACTGCCGAGCGCAAGCCGACGCAGGCACGTTGTGTTGCGATGAAGCTCTGAACCTCTTACTAGCCCAAGCCCCATGCAATCTCATCGATGTCTTGCACGGTGAGCCTTGGCTGGCGCGAGCGAGCATGAGACTTACATGTGCAAAGGACGCTGGCGCCCTCTAGATGCGAGCACCACGAGTGTTCAGCTGTACGGTGTTCTCTACAACGTGTCTTGCTTGGTGGTGTCATTTGACACATCCATGTGCCGTCGCGCAACGAAGCTGGTGAACGCTACAATCCAAGTGACATGTCGAAATCAACATAGATACCGCCATGGTGATAAAGCACCTTCCGTCAAGGCCAGAAGGCTCCGCTTCAAGCAGCTTCAAGGGCTGTGTGGGCTGGTGCAAGAAGGCTGACACTGTCAAAACCGTCATCGACTGACTTCTGATGTGCATACCAACCCCAGAGGCACTGCATATCGAATGAAGTCCGACTTCGCGGCAGGATATGGCATCCGAAAGTACTCCTGTCGAGAAGGGCAGACAGCCGTGAGAATGCCGGGCTGCTTGGTCAAGGTTATTCCCAACAATCGCAATCACAATGATGCAAAGCCGTCCTCTGGTATATCCGGAATGACTTGCCGGACATTGTCATCTGTGATAAGAAACGGCTCGTTGCAAAGACCATGTGAGTGCCGGCGCCATGCTTCAATGACCTCATACTGCGGCGAAGTCGGTGAGAGCGTTGTCACCAAACGCTAAAGTGACTGCCCATGTACTGCACTGCCTGCTTTGATGCAAACTTTTATGCAGAAGCGTGGCTAACCGCTGGAATAAGGGCTGCTCTGGCTGTGATTTCCTCAGCAATCAGCAAATTTATCGGCACTGGGAACTGTCGGCATTCATGCCAACACTACTACTTATCCTGGATCGCAAGTACTGTGGCGAATGATTGCATCATGCACGGGAGCTGAAAACTCAGACCAAATCACTTCGCCCCTTGCGTTCGATGCTCAGATGTTCAGACGAGTATCGGCTTCTCCCACAAACTGAAGATGTTGCACTTGGATGGATCCAATCGAGTGGTGGGGTCGACCTGCTTGCTGGAGTCCAGCAAAGGGGGTTGTCTTTCGAAGGTGTTTAGTTGGATATGTGCAACGGCATTCTCACACAATCCTGCAGGCTCCTAGCTCATCTGTCTACGCAGAAACAACTTCAAAACGTCAACAATTCGCTGCACCACCATCCAGCGCACTTACTTACACTGTGTGCAGGTCATGCGAATGTGCTTGCGATCCAACTTGCTGGGCAAGTCTGAACTGATCTGCTCAATGGAACGGAGCCTTCGAAGAGTTCGACGACTTTGACACCTTATCAACATGTTCGCGCCATTTTTCCCTCTCCACAGCCATGCTTTTCAGCTTTCGTATCCTTTGTTTGGTCTGACTGCAGTCCAATGCATGGCCCAGCCCCTTCCCCCGGGCACAAAGTTTGGCGTAGCGCCAGTGAGAGCGACCCTCAACTTCATCCATTTCTGGCACCACCCCCCCCCCCATGCCGAAAGCCATGTGAATCCCAACAACCCTCGTCGTGAAGTCTTCGTCTGTCCTACCTCGGGGTTCGGATTTGCAGGATTTGCTTTGTGCATTTTGTGCCGCTGGTGATGCTCCAAGACAATCCAAAGACGAAACCAAGCTGAAAGGCTGGCACTCAGCTACGTAGGGGACTCGCAAAAAAAAGATGTATTTCAAGACAAGCTAGCAGCTAGCTCGGCTGAACAAATGCAAACACGCACAAGATTCTGGAAATGATCCAGGAAGCATCAGTCTCGATGAGGTCGCCTGCTTGGAAGGTCCGCTCACAATAAAGGGTCAGAAGCATGTTTTGAGGCCTTTCCCTACTCCGCATCCCCACTGCACTCACAGTCTGCCGCAAATGCAAACAAACTACGAGTACGTCTGCCTCCGGAGCTGGCGGCAAGTTGCAGAGCTGTGTGCGTGCGCCATTTGCTGCTAGCACGATGCATGGATCCTTGACGCACAACAAACCAAGGTGCTCAGCTCAAAAAACCTCCTTCATGGATGACATTCTGTTTTGGTGTTGCAGATGAGAGGCTCATGATGGGATGATGATCGAGGGGCACCTCAGTTGTGCACTCGATCCTCTTCGCAACCCCTCACGAATTCTTACTACCAACAAGACTTGCAGGACGGCCGCAAAACTCGTGATAGCCGTCGAACTACGGCATCAAACTGCCAGGAATGCCAGGAGACCCTCTTAAATTCGGAGACATTGGTCGAATCGATGCCGCCTCTCATGCGAATTCACAGCACGCATGACTCATCCAACTTGCACCCGCTGCTTGTTTAGTTCAGTTCGAAAAACGCATGAAAAACGCTGTATGCGACAGCACTGCTCGTGCACTGGGATATCGATTAAATAAGCGGAGGATCTGAAGTTCGTCTGAACTTGCAGTTGCATTGACTGGATGACATAGGGCGAGCATGCCTGTAGCCAGCAGCCAATTCAAGAAGCACACCTGACTTCACCACAGGGCCGCAGCACTGACATGCGGCTTCGTTCGCTTTCACGTGCGAGATCAAGCCAGGACACGTCAAGAACTGTCAATACAAACAAGCGGTGCCCGGGTGCCCGCTCAAATCTGAAGAATGGTGCCGAAATGTGCCAAGAGTCCAATTGCAAGCAAAGCCGTGCCATCTGCATCTTGCAGTCGGTTCCAAACAGGGGATCGCTGAAGTCTTAGAGAAGTCTATGACCTTGCACTGCTTGCACGCCTTTGGCGGCAAGACATCAAGACATTGTACAGACTCTCTTAGCCTCGTAGCTGTGCGCAACAGACACTGACTTCTGGGTCCGTGGATGAAGCCGCTGCATAGATCCACCGTTTACATTGGGTAGTCATTGAGAGTCTGTACTGTGGGGCCTGACTTAAGGATCTGTAAGCCAAGCAATTGCGCAGATCTCAATTGGACACCATGGAACAGCATGGAACCTGTCTCCTATATTATTACCGATGACCTGGCCTCCCCTTGTCGGAGTTTCAAGATGATTCAAGATGTATCAAGCTTCATGCTGTAAGTTTCCGTTGGTGACTTTGACATCTCTGATGCTAGCAGACGACCCTCTGTCCTGCTTCAGCGTCCTGTCAAGCAAACAATGCACAGTAGGATATGAAGCAAGTAGCGACAACAGACAAGGTGCTCACCACGAGCTCTGCTAAGTTAAACACGTCTTTGCAGTGCTGGCCTGATTTCCTGGCCCCACTGCTGCTCGGTTTTCGAGAGAAGTTGGGCTACCGCCTTGGCCAACATGGAACTTCGCAACTGGCTTCTATGGTGGAGTCGAAGCTGCTGGCACCGCGTCTTTTGTGAAAAGCTAAATAACGTTCGGCCTCGGCAGAGAGAGCTGTCTCTGACGATTCTGGAGCTTGTAGGCCTGGGCACTTCTCGCGACTTGTTTCAAGTTCTGTTAACTGGCATGCAACTCTCATCGGTACTTGTGTGAGAAATCGTGGGGCTGTGGCGTTTCTCTCTTTGCGTGAATACCTACCGTATATGGTGCCCCCACGCTACCATATTCTCTGCTTCCTTGCTCTTCCGAAGTCACCCTGCACCAGATTAAAGGCCGTGCATGTGGCAGTCTTTGTTTAGGGTCGAGGTCTGCAGACCTCTGAGCGTGCTGGCCGACCTGAGACACAGCCGCCATAGGCCATAGGTAATGCTAAAATCTGGGACAACCGAAGGACAGGTACTGGGACACTCTCATAGATTTTGTTGGGATACTAATGTTTCCGATCTCTCGCCGACGAAAACATTGCTAAAACAAACACATGTCTTTTTCAGAAAATGTCCTGGCCTGGCCACATGGTGTGAGCAACCAGCGTGACCAGCGTGCATGCACTGAGGGACGAAAACCGACTTACGCCGATGCGCCGATATCTTCCCCTGCCTCCCCCCTCCCCAACAAACGCTCATACACCGATATGGCCGATGTCCCCTTTCCCCCTCCACCCTCCCGCCCTCCCCCCCCCCCCTCCCACCTCCCCTTCCACCCTCCCGCCTCACCCCTCCTCTTCCCCCCCCCCGGATTTCTTTCCCCCCCACGTCGACCCCCCGCACCCAAAGCGCTTTGTCTTGGCCTCTAGGTTCCACAAAGAGCGCTTGCTGCCCACATTTATTGTTGTCGTGCATGCGTGCGAGCAGACAAATACTCCACCACATGCAGAAACCCTTGCTCTATCGCATTCTATCGCTGAGCACAAACATTGAATAACAAATTCCGGTCGAACGAATTTACTGGGCCTTGATTGTCACAGGCTTGCATCTACCACCCCCCGGACCCCCCGAGTCCGTGCATCGGTGTAGTGCCCTTAATTTCGCCCGTGCAGCTTTCCAAAGCGCGGGCCCGGAATATTGAACACAAGCGGCTTCCTCATCGTGTCTGTAATCCTGGAATAGTGCGAAGCCCGAGATACCAAAGCATAGACACATACTGCATAAAACAAACAAACAAACCAACCTCTGTATATATCTATATATATATATATATGCATATGTACGAAAAAAAAAGATATAGAAAAAGATTTAGATTTAGACTTAGATATAGATTTAGATGTAGTAATAGATATAAATAGTTTCATAAACAAATTTGTAAACGAAACAAACATACATGCATATATATATATATATATATATGGATATATAGACATATAGATATATCGAAATAAGAGAAATCACATATAGCATATATATATATATATATATTTGTGTATACTGCCACGACGCGGCAGTGCACAAGAAACGACATGTCAGGAAGCTGAGGACTGGTAAGTGGCAAAGGGGGCACGGCGCAAGCATACCTGCTTTCGCATTTCAAGCACACACTGCCTGATGGGCGCAAGATGGCGCAAGATTTCATGTAAAGCAGGAACTCGGACTAAGGCTTGGCCTGGAAATTCAACGAGGCACCGTCTTTGAGCCAGCACATCAAGTCATCCCTCATGCAGACTACACGAGAAGTCCGCAGCGCGCAGTGCGATTTCAATATGAGCACTGGGGTAGCACTGGCATCGAAAGGAGGATGACCCTAGAGCAGTGTGCACCGGCGCCACAGGCAGTACAGGGGCCTCACAAGGCCATGAGACCCTAGTTAATCGCATCGCCATCTTTGCATACCAGTCTGTGTCTGTGTGTGTGTGTGTGTGTGCGTGTGCGTGTGCGTGTGCGTGTGCGTGTGCGTGTGCGTGTGCGGCGTGTGTGGGCGGGTGGGTGGTGGGTGGGTGGGTGGATGTGTGTGTGTGTGTGTTCGAGACACAGAGAGAGAGAGAGAGAGAGAGAGAGAGGGAGGGAGAGAGAGGGAGGGAGAGAGTGGGCGCGCGCACGTGCGCTTGGCTCGGAGTTCGCACCACTGATGGCTGTTGGGCATGATCTAGCAGCAATGAAATCCCATCGTTTGTGTCACTGGATCTGGCAGCATTTGGCTGGCAGATGTGATGCTCAAGTCTCAAGTTCTACATAAACCTAGAAACCTTAAAAGTGCCACGCAAATAAAGAAAGTTGAGGTCTCGTGGCCGCATTCACCTCTCTTGAATTCACACCCTTTCTCTAGGTGGCCGTGTCTTCTACTGTAGCGAGTCCCTGTGGCCTGTGAATGCATGCAATTTCTCAAAGGCAACATGAGAACGTGGCCGTCCAAGTGTGCCAGCAGCTGATCAAGACGTTCGTCCATCGCCATCATTGTTTGGCCTGGTCAATGACGCTCAAGGTGGTCACTTCTGGAGCTTGACTGAACTTGACAGAACTCAGAAAGAGACGCCCTTAAGGGGATACTAAGGGGATACTAAGGGGTACCGCCGGTACTGCAGGTGTTGGACATGAATGACTCATGGTACTAGCTTGTCTCTGCCGTTAGGGCAGCGAAACTCTGCAAACAAACGCTTCAGCCGTGATCAGTATGTTCAGTGTCCCTGAATACTTCTGTGTTCGGTGCTTCCTTGTAAAGTGGCATCTTGAAAGGTGATGGTGCCAAGGTGTGGGCTGGAGCACAGGACACGGTAATCCGACTCTCTTTAGTTTGCTATGGTGTAGGGCAGGTGGTGCACCTCGCAAACATGGACTCCCAACACATAAGAGCAACGGAGTGAGAACTCGTTGTCTACACACGGAAACAGCTTCGATTTTTTGTGAAATTGAATCAACATCCGAAGCCAATCGAAACCAACAAAGTAGTTAAGTAGTTCAGGGTGCGAATCCACTCCGAAAACTCTCCCGATGGATTTTTTTACGGTGCGTCGTAGATCTCCTACCAGCCGAGGTCCGGAGGCTGCCTCGCTGCCTCGCGGTACCCTCACCCTAGAAAGCTACAAGAAGCGCGATGAGGGCAAGGCAAGGACCGCAAGGACATCGTTTCAGTGCTCTGCCAAACTGAGTTTGTGACGGATCTGCTTTAATTCCATCTTTACCTGACATCACGTGCTTTTGATCTGGTGCTGGAATCAAAGCTGGCAAAGAAGGAAGTCTGTGAAGTCAGTGAGCTGCGGCAATGCATATTTTGTCTCGCTTGCTTCGCTGCAAGCACTGCAATCACTGCAATCACTGCTACTGCTATCATTCTGATTCCGGTCGTCTTTTGGCTCCAGGACCATGGACAAGTCCCCCTCCCGAGGCAGCGTGACATCGGCTAGGAACCTGCGGACCCGTGAGTGACCCCTCTCCATGGCTAAGAGTGTTGGAGTTACTCCACCTTGGCTGACATGATGAGGATTGGCACGAGCTTTGACCAGCAGCTCCACCAGCTGACACTCACCTTCCCCTGCTGCCAGCAAAAGAGGCGTCCACCCATCATCGTCCTGCCTGTCGGTGTTTGCGCTTCTTTCAATCAATAGCGCAGCCACGTCTGAGTGGCCAGTGCTTACAGCCAGGAAAAGCGGCGACCACCTGTCATTAGTGCCGGCGTCTGGACTCACACGGCAGTCAAGCAGACGACGGACAATCTCGAGGTGCCCTCTTTGTGCAGCGAAGCTCAAGGCGGTCCAACCAGAAAAGAGCAGGTGCGGGTCAGCATCGCCTGCTAGAAGAACGTTTGCAATGTCCAAGCGACCTGCCTCGACGGCACACATCAAAGCTGTCCTCTCAAGATCTCGACGGGTGTCCACGTTCGCTGCACATCTGACCAAGCAGTCGACCACGCCCAGCTGCTGATGCTGCACAGAGAAATAAAGTGCACTGCGACCATCCTGGCTCTTTCTTTCGATTCCTGCCCGCTTAGAAAGGAGAAACTCAACAACATTTGAATGGCCAGCCATGGAGGCTGAATGCAGCGGCGTTTCGTCGCGGTTATCACCAAGATCAATGTTCGCGCAGGCATCATAAAGGACGTCGAGGACATGTAAATGCCCAGCGGCAGCCGCGTGCCATGCTGCAGATCGGCCAAAGCGGTCCAGTGAATCTGGGTCTTGTCCGTTCTCAACAGCTGGCAACATCACACGAAGGTCACCGTTCACAGCTGCCTGGAGCATCACGGCCTGGTGCTCGCTGGTTGGCTCTCGGTTGGAGACGACAAGATGCAAGTGCAAAGGCCTCCCTAGGGATGTCCACGAAGTATCATCCAAGACAATGTCACTGTTGCACACCAACTGCTGGCGAAATCGGGAAATGCCAATCTTGTCGCGGATCTGCTTCTTGATCATAAGTCCTACATGTACATACAGATGATGGATCGGAGTATCTGCACAAAGGCCTTCAACTGTTCAATGCTGCTGTTCCGTCTTAGTTGGTGTCAAAACATGCACATGGGGCACGGTCAAACAATGTGTGTGGGCAGCAAAATGCACCCTGCAACCTGCGCTCGCCAGCACCTGCCGGCAAACCAGCACACAATCACAATCACAATCACAATCAGACTCACACACACACAAACCAAACCACCTCCACACCAATGTTAGGGCGACATTGATAACATCCGATTTGCTCTCGGGGGTGGTGGGGCTGGGCTCCAAACAGGCTGGCACAATAGCGTGTTTCTGGTTAGTCTGGGAGTCTGGGGTCTTCCAAAAAAGAGGTTCTCTTTGATTTGGGGCCTCTTCTTGGGTTTTGCAAAGGTTTCTGGGCGGGGCTCTTTTGCCGGCTCTGCGACCCTCGTTTGTCAGTACCATTTGCTCTGTTGCAATGGCCCACTCTCCGACTGAAGGCTCGATGCCGTGAGCTTCGGAGGCGTGAGGCGTGGGTTTACCATGAGCTCGTAACCTTTTACGAGTCTCTTGTCGGGCTCTTGTTGAGAAAGGAAAACAACGGTAGACCTGACTCGAAACAGAGACGTGGCTGCAGCTGTTGGAAACGGCTTTGAATCTATGAACTAGGCGGCTCAACATTGATTAACTGGTCGCAGAGCGGCCCTCGCAGCTGCACTTCAGCTACGTTTGGATTTGCTTTTTGGATCTTTTTGGTGAAGCGGGTCTTTCAAGGCTTTCCATTATGAAAACTACCTTTACAGTAGAGGATCCCTACTGCTTCTGAAGTATGCAGCTAAGCCTTTCAAAGACCCCCAAGTCTCGGTGCCTGCGCGTGGGCTTTTGTCAGGCCAGGCGTTTTGGGCTTCTCCCTTGTAGCCCAAGTTAGAACCGAGTCCCAGCCACCAGTTTTCCCAAACATGACTGTTTCGGGGCTATGTCAGGGTCAGGCAGTCGTCAGCCAGCATCCTCGCATACCCTCGTCATGGCAAGGCATGCTGGGGTGGTCCACTGTAGGGTTTAAGGCTGGATTTGCTGGTCGCTGCTGGTCGCTTTGCTTTTTTGCAGACCATCGCTTGCAACATGCAGCCCAACAAAAACTGCGCAACATTGCACAACTTCAGAAAGGGGATTCTGCACGATGAAGCCCCACAGTGACTCGAAGTTAGGAAAGCAAAGCACCAAGCCCTAGACGTGAAAGCTTTGGCCAATCCAAGAAGTTTAGTCTTGCACCGGAAACTGTTAGACTGGCATAAATCGAATTTAGCAAGTTCTCTTTCCATGGGCACGTGCGCTAAAGCCGAAAGCAAGGTCTGCTCCGAGGCGTAACATTTGGTAACATTGCTACAGCGACCGTTTAGAACCGAGCTTTGCCCGAAACTACCGCCTACTAACTTAAAACCAAGTCCAAGAAGGAACGTGCAGATGATTGCCTGGATGAGGGCTGAAACCGATGTTCAGCCCTCGGTTGCTGTTACAGGTAGAATGAAAGGCTCCTTTTTTCTGATCTCAACCCGGAAGCTACACAGAGACAAGCCAGAATGACACAAAGCCTTCAACCTTCCAGGTTTTTCTGCCTTCCAGCCAACCTTTGAGCTTTCAGCCAGCCAACCACTGCCAGCCCAAGGCCCAGCCTTCCAGCCTTCCAACCTTCCAGCCTTCCAACCTTCCAGCCTTCACCAACTTCACCCTTTCAGGATTTAAACGAGTAATTTATGCTACTTCTGCGGACACTGCGGCTGGCCGGGCCCCCATACATTTCGCAAACGTTGCCGAAAGATTAAACCATGTCCTAGGCCTAGGCAATAAAAAACCATATCCCGTGCTCTTTTAACCTCCTTTATATCCTCCCTGTTCGTGCTCCTGCATGATCTGCAATAAGCCATGGCTCCTGAGACAAAGAGAGCACGATTGGACTCGTTTTGTGAGAGGCATCGAGCTGCAAGCGCACGATAATGCAAGCCAAGCTGCGGCAATTTCCAGCACCAGCTCGCCAGTAAGCAAAAACACTTGAAGCATGTCTGTCAGCAAGCCTTGATAGACTGCTGTGGGGGCTGCATCGCATCATGATGTCTTGGTTGCAGGTTCTTCTAGTACGGCTTGCGATAGTGCACCACCGTGCCGAGCCTGCTGCAAAGTGTGAGTATTAAACGCCTATTGGGCCTATTGCTCGGCTAAAGCTGCTCACATCTGCAAGTCGATTTCTACAGCCACATACATAACGATGTCTACAATATGCTTATGAGCAGAAACGACTTTGCATGTCTGCTTCAGCGGGCTATGGTAGACTTGATCCACGTCCACACAGGTCCATCAGTGTTCAATATCTTTGAAGTCGAGAATTTCTGTTTTGCTGTGGCAGCGCCTTGGATTCCGTGTCGATGCGGGCATTCTCGATCAGGCGGGCCACCTGCGAAAGCCCCAGGCGCTGGCCATTAGTGTAGCCGCGTAGTTTTAAGCAAGTCTAGCACCACACGCTGTCGTCCTTCTTTTTCACCGTGCTTTTTTCTGATGGATTGTCCACGGTGCCTAACGGCCATAAGCAATCAATATTAGAAGCCACTTCGAGGCCTGATGCAAGCGGACTGCTCTGTAATGTGGCATTCTCTGGTCTCTTGACCGTGATTTCTGGCAGCAGCACGTCTGGACAGCTTGAAGATCCAAGGTCGAGCTTTGAGCCTGCCTGGGATCACGTCGGCAGCTCCAGAAGGTCAGCTGCCAACGTCTCATAGTTAACAGCAAGTCAGGTAAGACGAGCCTCGGACCGCCAAGGCTGTGCACTCTCACCTGGCGCCGACTAGGATAGCATCAGATATCCATACCCATGAGCCGCAACTATCCGCAAATATCCGGAATAGATTCATGACTTTGCCTGTAGACAGCTCGGCAAGAAGAACATCCTGTCCTGAGGGGTCGTGCAGCTTCAAACTGAGCAATTGAGCACAACTGGATGTCACTCCATGATCACTCCGATTCCTTGCCTGAGGTCATTCGGGTAGTCACCGAAGGCCTGCAAATAATGCTTGCATTTCCTTCAGTTGACTCACATCCTTTGAACAATCACGCACACACCCACAGCAATCACTTATTTCCGGCCACCATTTCGCTGCAGACGAGGTTTCGCTGCCATGTTGTATGCGTAGACCTATTTACTCAGACCGGCTGCGACAGTGTCTCGGCAGCTTCGACAACCTGCTTTGACCCACGAACCCTCCGCAAAAACAAGAATGCAGTCCCGCATACAACTCCTACTAACACTCTCCCATTGCCAGACATTTCCCCGCCGGGAAGAATGTGGCGGGATGTAGGGACCCCCACGCGATCAATTAGTTAAACCGAGTTCTATCATGGATGTGCAAGGCAATGTTGCCGTACCTTACTGTTCCGTATGCTGATGTATGCTCGTACGCTGAATGGGGAATTCTTTGTGAAGTGACCGCAGGAAACTATAAGCTGCTCGTTTGGGCTTCAGTGAATGGCACACGAAATGACAAATCGCAAGCAGTGTCAGCCAATGTCAGCCAACAGGTCCCAAAATCACAAACCACAAGCAGAGTCCCCGTAGCATTTGTTGAAATATAGCATACAAAAAGACGCCTACAGTTTGGAAAGTGACAAGGCGCAAGCAGTGCCACCCTTGTTCTTGTTGAAAGAATTGGGGGCGCCAGTTCTTTTTTGAATGTTAGGGTTTTCTGCCTCTCTCACTGTGTCAATGAACCCCTACACTACATACAACCTGAAGCCTTACCTTAACCTAAGCCCAAACCTCGAAACTTGGAGCCAAACCCTTGCCGCCTTGTAATATGCCTTGCTTGATACTGTCAGACTGTCAGAGCACAGAGGCAGGGCATGGCAGGGCCTTCTTGGGACTCGGCTTTGGCCAGCAGAGCCTTTTGGCTGGCAACTTTCGCCTCGAAGCACCACAAGTACAAAGAACCGTAATTGCTCGTTTTCAGGTTTGTCCCATCGTCACGACCATATGTGAGTACATGAAGCGAGATGGATAGGGCGCATCCTACCCCTTTGCTTTTGCAGAGAATGTGACAGCACCATGCTGCATCGGGCGGCGCATGGCGCGTGTGCCTGCGCAAAGGATTCGTCCTCTGGAAGCCAGAGTTTGAAATCCTCCGATCCATCCTCCACATACTTGCGAGACAACGTGAGATTTCGCGAGGATGTGAGAGGAGAGACAAGAGGGAGGGAACGAACGAGAGTGAAAGAGTGCGAGCGGAAGCGGTGGAAGCGAAAAAGAGCGAGCGACAGGAGATCGGGAAATGTCCTTTACCCAGAGATTGCCGGGAAACTTCAGCACAAACATCAGGCGATGAGTCACCTCGTCCTTGCTCGGCATTGGTCATTCGCAGCTTGTGGATCGATGGGCATCGATGGTGTGCTTGTCAACATGTAACAAATTGACAGAAACAGTCTTGTCGGTGCATTTTATCATTTTCTGATTTCGAGTGGCTGGGTTGAGCTGAACCACCACCTCCCGAATGCCAGACTCCGGCGCTTCCTGGAAGTTCACAGACCGGGCGAAAAGCCACCTGTGAAATGTCGGAAAACGGTTGTCAGTCAAGCGCTTGCGCCCTTATGCCGTTATGCCAGCTAAGTGGATAAAAGTTGTGCAGCTGAGCACTTGTTGTAGGCATCACCAGATCCATAGTGAAGCATGATCTCGTCAAGGTCCGTGATAAAGTGAACTAGAGCACCTGCACCGCTGTGTCTTTCACTTTAACGTGCAAGCTCTCAGACTCTCAGTTGAGTTGTGCTGCACTGCAGCACCTTCTGCAGAGACACCAGTAATTCCCATGAGGTTGCCTCCATGGACCTGTGCCCATCCAAGGTGCAGAGACACAGACGACAGGAACGCTGGGGAGGACATCTGGAGACCGTGAGGTGCAAGGACATACAAACCGTCATCGTGATGAAAGCTTGGCTATGCTTGGCTATTCCGGTCATGTCTGTGAACATCCAAGCGAAAAGAGCTTGCTCAGCAAATGTGTATTTACCCTTGGCCTTCCACCAAGTTGTCCTCACAGTCCTTAAATGTGCAGACGTACGCGAGCCGCGAAGTCGTTCTAGCACCTGTCGACCCTTCCAGAGGATTTCCTGTCATGCAGTTCAAAACCGAACAAGCGATCAACCACCAAAAGAAGGTATCATCCAAGGAAACGAAAGAACTCTCTAAAAAGATTTGGTCCAGAATACTTCCCGCTCAGAAAGTCTGTAGCTTCAAGAATCAGGGCCTTTCGGACTCCAAGCTTCAATCGTACTTGGGATGTTCAAGGCTACGGCGCAAACCTGATTCAGGCCCTACATTGACCTGGGGTTTCATTTTGCGCCCCATCCCTCGCCCATGCGTGGTAGTTCTCCGTTGCTACGCGAGGCCCCCGGACGAATTCGGCAGAGTGTGGCAAGGGCTGGCGGAGCTTCGTCAACAAAAGACAGCTTGGCCTACAGGGGCCCCACCAGGAGGCTTTGTCAGCGTATCGGAAAGCTTTGGGGGAGGGGGGGGACCCTGCCCCTCCCTTCCATAAATCCCGAAATTCGTTTGTCCTCCTTCCCTTCCCCCAACCCCCCCCCCCGTAATTGTAAACCAAAACGACAGCTAGAGCTTTCGTGAGTTTGGGAGCTCGTCCGTCTTTAAGCTTTGCGTTCCAAAGTGCAGCTTAAGCTCTTGCCAGCAGAGTCTGCTTTGACGGCGCGGTCTGCAGCACTCTTGAAGAGGCTTGGTGCCTGCAACGTTGGAGAGCGGAATCTGAGACACAGCGACACACGTCTTCACGAGGCACTTCACGTCCTCGCGTCTTCGCGCGGCGCCTTCGCGTCTTCGCCCGAAAACTAAACACCCTTACGGTCAATGTGAATGTTGAAGGCCATCAGTCGCACGACTGTCAGGGCTTTGGAAAGGTGGTATGCTGGCACATGTTGGCACGGCTAGAGATTGCAGTCGGCTGACACAGAAGCTGCCTGCGGAAACTCCGCGGAAAAGTCGGAGCGGCCTGCTTTGTGCCTTAGCACTGCAATGCACCCACTGCGTTGCCGTAGCGGGATATGTGAAGCAGGTCGTTTTCGCACTCCATGCCTCAGTGACTGCCTAAGTTGCTTACATTCAAAACCAAATGCCCAGATCCCTTCATAACTGGAAGACGTCATGGCAGCCTTTGCCTACCTGTATGGCTGCCTCCTCAGTACATAGAATGAAAGCTCGACTTCTTGTAAGTCTAGAAAGCGACTTGTGTATCCTGCCTAGGTATACTATGCACTGCAAATGTTTCATGCCATTGTTGGATAAGCTTAGCTGCTGAGCTTATTGTCGTCTTGTGGAATGTTGTTACAATCTTGCTGCCTGACCAGCCACCAAGCATTAGGTGGCTCGTGCAAAACGAAGTTCACCGCCGCCACTTTGACTTTGCTGGGAAAGGTGATGAAGACCCGTCGGAACCTGGGGCGAAAACCGAATCAAAGGCAGTCTATGTTTCAGATCTTCCTGAGCGCGTGGCCCATCTTCCTCTTCTTCCCCGAAGTATGTTTGCACAGCACCAGGAATGGCTTTGCTGCGAGCCGGCCAGCTGCTTTGCAGAACCTGCGCATCTGCAGAATGCAGAAAAGAGTATGCAGAAAAGAGTGCTGAGTATGCGACACTCTGTGATGCTATGCGACGTTTGCAAAGGAAAACTGGTACGGCGGTTAGCTGTCTCTCGGCCTCTTCAGGCGGGTGTGTCCAGGCAGCGCCAGGCCTTTCGATGACACCCCAATGGAAGATCAGATCACCTGCACATACTTTACTTTGCACATACTTTGCACATACTGGTGTTCAACATGCACACATGGGGGCAACATAGCACTGAGCCTTCACCAAATGCAGTGGCTCTCAGCTCAAAAACCACGCCTTGTGTGCACAGACTCTTGTGAAAGTTCGGAATTTTTTTGTCGATGTTCCCGTCTTCCCGTGCCCCACGCGGTATCTTGCAAGAACCGAAAAATGTCTAGAATCTAGTCTGTGCCATTGTGTACTAGTAGGAACAGTTTGCCAATGCGACTCTTGTGCATTGCACAGCGAAGGCTTCACATGGACTCACGCGCGTCTAAGATGCAAACCATCTTCGCTCACAGCAGGATGGAGCCAGACTTCAATCTTCTTGTTGCCCACGTCTCGCGCCAACACCTTCAAGCACGGATCGATGTGTATCAGACCCCCGCAACGACAATCAGTACACATCTGTGCACAACCTACCGCAATCTGGCCTGAGTGCCTTTGCATCCTGGCGAAGGCTTTCTATTCATAAGTCGGCTTCAAAATGCTTCACATGGCCTTTGACCCAAACATAATGCCATGGCTTAAGTTTTTGGGGACGACACATGCACGGGCTGTGAGCAGTCCTAGTTCCGGCTTCGCCGGCCCAATCGGAAGCGTCGGCGGCAGCAACTTCGAGGACTGACAGAAGAACCCGAATTGAATGCAGTTGTCTGTGTGTGTGTGTGCGTAGCGTGTAGCAACCTGTAGCTTCCACGATCAGCCAGGACCAACATGAGCTACAGTCGTGCATTCAACTGACCGTAGATATCCCACGATATCCCAAGCATGAGCTTTCTCCTAGAAGGCCTGTTATATCATCTTATATCCAACATTCTTATCCGCCGACCCCTAGGGGGGCGGCGTCAGTGAAGACCCATTGCCCCTACCACCTACTCCACCCCATCCAAAGCTCGACCGGCCCCCAGTGCATGCCCGCCCGCTTGCCCTACCCCCACCACCCACGCACCCCGCCCCCCGCTCCTTCCCTTGCCCAAGCCCCCCACGCACCCCGCCATGCTTCTTATGGACCCATGGCTCCTCCCAGTGCATGCCCGCCCGCTTGCCCTACCCCCACCACCCACGCACCCCGCCCCCCGCCCATCCGCCCTTCCCGCTCCGCATACTCCTTCCCTTGCCCAAGCCCCCCACGCACCCCGCCATGCTTCTCATGGACCCATGGCTCCTGGTCCCATTCTTCATCCCAAGCTCGACCGGCCCCCAGTGCATGGCCGCCCGCTTGCCCTACCCCCACCACCCACGCACGCCCTTCCCGCTCCGCATACTCCCCCCCTTGCCCAAGCCCCCCACGCACCCCGCCATGCTTCTCATGGACCCATGGCTCCTGGTCCCATTCTTCATCCCTCCTATTTATCTCCCCGCCCGTCCGCCCTTCCCGCTCCGCATACATTCCCCAACCCCCACCCCCACCCCCCACGCACCCCGCCCCCCCACTGAACCCATGGCTCCTGGCCCCATCTTCCCCCACCCCCACCCCCCACGCACCCCGCCCCCCACTGAACCCATGGCTCCTGGCCCCATTGGCTCATGGTCCACGGCCCATGGATGTGGCTTCTCAGCTGACTTTAAAGGGCCCCAGTGCATGCCCGGGCCCTCCGCCCACTCCGCCCACTCCACCCTCCCATTCTTCATCCCTCGACCTGCGTGGCTGCCAAATGGCCCCCCAACCCCCCCCCCCCCCGCACGCACCCTCGCCCTTCCAGCTCCGCCTACTCGCCCTTCCAGCTCCGCCTACTCCCCCCTTGGCCCATGCTCCCACTCTCCATCCCCTCGACCTCCCCCGCTTGGCCCGCTTGCTCTACCCCCCGCCCGTCCGCCCTTCCCGCTCTCCCCTTGCCCACCCATGGCTCCTGGTCCCATTCTCCATGCTTCTCATGGACCCATGGCTCCTGGTCCCATTCTTCATCCCTCGACCCTGCTCCACCCCCACCCCCAACCCCCACCCCCACCCACACTTCCAACCCCCCACGCACCCCGCCCCCCGATCACTGGACCCATGGCTCCTGGCCCCATTGGCTCATGGTCCACGGCCCATGGACGTGGCTTCTCAGCTGGTTTGAGTGCATGCCCGGGCCCTCCGCCCGCTCCGCCCGCTCCGCCCTCCGCCCTTCCAGCTCTGCCTGCTCACTCTCCTTCCATGCTCCCACTCTCCATCCCCTTGACCGACCCGCCGCCCATGCCCCTCATGGACCCATGGCTCCTGGCCCCATGGCTCCCTCCGCCCCTACCCCCACCACCCACGCACCCGCTCCCCGCCCATCCGCCCTTCCCGCTCCGCATACATTCCCCTTGCCCAAGCCCCCCACGCACCCCGCCATGTGGACCCATCCCATTCTTCATCCCTTGAGCTGCTCCACCCCCACCCGCAACCCCCACCCCCACCCCGCACGCACCCTGCCCCGCCGCGCGCTTGTCATGGGCCCCTTGCTCCTGGCGTCATGGCTCCACCCCCACCCCCAACCCCCACCCCCACTTCCAACCCCCACACTGAACCCATGGCTCCTGGCCCCATTGGCTCATGGTCCACGGCCCACCCACCCCCACACCCCCCACGCACCCCGCCCCCTGCTGGACCCATGGCTCCTGGCCCCATTGGCTCATGGTCCACGGCCCATGGATGTGGCTTCTCAGCTGACTTTAAAGGGCCCCAATCCATGCCCGCCCCCTCCGCCCGCTCCGCCCTCCGCCCTTCCAGCTCCGCCTACTCCCCCCTTGGCCCATGCTCCCACTCTCCATCCCCTCGACCTCCCCCGCTTGGCCCGCTTGCTCTACCCCCACCACCCACGCACCCCGCCCCCCGCCCATCCGCCCTTCCCGCTCTCCCCTTGCCCAAGCCCCCCAGTCTCGGCTGCCTCAACCCTCCATTATCCCCGAAAATCTGCAAACCCTCCTCCTCGGCATCCCAAACCCTGACTGGGCGGCTCGGCGCTTCCGCCATGGTCTCCGCCGCCACGGCGGTTTAGGGGTTCGGGTTTGTGGTTTCGAGTTTGGGGTGTACGTCGAGGCCTCAGGTTCAAGTCTCCTGGTTACGGGGGTTTAGGGTTTGGGGGTTTGGGGTTTCAGGGTTGCGGGTTTCGGGTTTGCGGTTTGCGGTTTTAGATTTGGGGTTTAGCCCGAACTCCCTGCGCATCAGGGCTCCATGTTTCGCCCCCCTGAACTCTACAACCTGACCAAGCCCTGCGCATATATCTATATATATATATATACATAATCCGCGGCCGGAGCCCACAGTGCCTTGGCCCCCCTTGGAGGGGGTCGGCGGCACTGGCGGTAGCCATTAAATCGGGCAGCGCGAGGTCCCCAAGGACCGAGCATTGGCGGACCTTTTAGCCCGGGTCGTCCCGGGAATAGCCTTGCTGGCCTCTGGCCTTCTGCGAAGCAGAATTAGGCCGAACGCCAGTGCCGCCGACCCCCGCGTGCCGCCGGTGAACGGTTTTTTTTTCGTGGTTTTTTGCGTCGCCACGGAGGCCCCCAGAGGGCGCGCATCATGAGCATCAGCGGGTCCAGCCCGGGACCCCCAGGCGCGCATCAGGAGCATCAGCGGCTCCCGGGGCGGGACCCCGGGGGCGCATCAGGAGCATGATGCCCCCCAAAGGGCGGGCATAAGCGATGTGTCTAAGCGCGGGGCTAGGAAAAGGGGAGTTTAGGGGCCTTATGAAGTGCTTAGAAACTTTAAGGGAGTCTAGGAGCCTCAAACGCTTAGAGATTTGAAGGGAGTTTAGGGGCCTGAAAATGCTTGGAAACTTTGAGGGGGTTGAGGAGCCTCAAACGCTTAGAGATTAGGGGCCTCAAAATGCTTAGAAACTGCTCGCCCCGCGCTTCTGCCTGCGCTGCCCGCCCATGGGCGCAGCCCCTTAAAATAAAAGTATGTCCAAAACGCATGCTGGGCGGTGAATCTGGGACATCCTCAAAAGATAGAAACGCGCGCAAACCGAGTCCACTAATTATTTGGAACCTGGTGGTCTGTGTTCCTCTGCCAAACCAGTTTTTTGACAACTGGCGGCCTGTCGCTTGGGTGGTTCGAACGACACCTCTTGTTTGCTGACCACGTCCTCCTCTCCCAAGGCCTCCAGAAAAGCTCCTGCCAACTTGAATGGAGTTTCCATGAAACTGGGAAAAAAGTGTGCAAACATTGCGAAACATTGCAAGAACTACAGCTACAGGCCTGACATCAAGGACCGCATTCGGACCATGGACTGCACGCGCTCCATTGCTGCGTCACTTTGCTTTCGACCTTCGCTTTCGGATTTGACGTCAATTTCACATATTATCTGGCATACATCTGTGGTTTAGATGTCTCAGTCGCTGCCCCTTGTTGAAGGACTGCGCTGACAGACTTTGACAAGTGCGGGGTGCAGACTCCAGGAAGGTTACTCAGTTGGGTTGCTCACACACACTTTCACTTTTGGGAGGAGCCATGGATCACAGTACAGTCACAACACAACACAATGGCTTGTTGCATCATTGCATCATTCTTGTCATGCGGCCCACGTCTTGTAAAGTTGGAGTTCCCAAGCTTGAAGTGAACTCCATGGACATACGCCGTCTGATGATTTCCTTCATGTGCAGGTTGATGTCCTGGCTCGACATTCGTGGAAAGCGCAGTGTCGACAGACACTTCACTCCTGATGGGCACCGTACTCGGCATCAGCTGTTGCAAACTGCTTGATGGACCTCGGATTTCTGTCTACCACAGCCAACCACACGGAGAGAAGCACACAGCCGAGCAGCGATTTGTCTGAGTAGGTCTTCAGCACAATGCAGCTGTACGGCTGCCTCGGCATGATGGGGGTCACCGGACATCGCAAAACCTGAAATCACTTCATGCCAATCCATTGCCGGGGTGCATGACGTAATTGTGTGAGCCGATCTTCGTCGAGGAGGCCTCGTCCTCGCAGATGTCTTTGGGCGGCGCCAGGTTGGTGTCGATGATGCCTTGCATAACTTACGCATAACTTTCATTCGTGCTCGTAGGCATGAGTCGGAAGCCAATGGCTGTCGTTGGTCCAAGATCCCTTGAAGCCTTGAAGCCTTGGAGTCTAAGTCATAGATTGCTGTCTCGGTGCGGTACCATGGCTTGTCTGTCGGCAAATCACAGGACCGCACCTGCCATCGGTCAGTGGAATATTAATCTGCACCTACTGTACAGAACGGTGGCCTCGTGGCCCGCATTGAAGGCAACTAGGAGTCCAGCGTACCCCTTTCCGGTCGCCTGAATGCACGGCATGCTTCCAAGTCTACCCGTCGCACGGGCACCGCACCTGATGGTCATGCAAGACATAGCAGATGTAGTTGTAAGGATCGTCCCAATGAACGCGCCACCAAATGTCCTTTCACCACAGGTCTCATCAAAGGCCAATCGAAAAGAATATTCAGAGCTGGGCCAGTTCCCGCACCTTGTTCGACATGAACTCAGTCCGGTTGAAGATTCCGGAGTATTGCTTCCTGCACAGTTGGCAGTGCAGTCAGCAGGAAGAAGATCGCTGAAGGGAACCCTGCTGCCGGGCGCGGGTGCCACAGGCTGACACGTCTCCTCAAGGAGATCAGCAAACGCACGAAGCGGTTGAGCTGGTTCTCCTCTCGCTCTGCGTCGCCTTGCGGCAGTTTTCAAGGCACAACCTGTGTCTGTTGGCAGGCAGCGGTGAACACGGTGAACACAGTGAACACGGTGAACACGCCACATGCAAACCAAGCATCTCCAGGAAAACCAGCAGCGAGCATCCTGACACCAACCATTGTTGCAACCCCTCTGCGATCGCCCATACTCATCACCGTAGAGAATCCTTAGTTTCTTAGATGCCGTGCGCCATTGATAATGTCTGTGTGGGAGGGTGGGTGTGGGTGGGTGGGTGGATGGGTGGGTGCGTTGGTTGGTTGAGTCGGTTTTGCCAAGTATCATCGGAGTTCCAGCACTCATGAACAAAGCCACCAAAAAGTTCCTCATCTGTCTGTTGCGGAGGTGCTTGACGTTCCCGTCGCCTCTATACAGAAGCATGGTTTGTACATCTGAGTACGAGAACAAAAACAACACCGGCACATTCAGCATGTAGCAGCTCTGCCTGTCTCACCCTCGTGACCACAGTTCCAGGAGTTGTTGTGGTCGTCTCCGCTGTTTTCACCATTGCAAGCGTTGTGTTTCCCATTGTAGGAGACCAAGTCCTGAATACGCCGAGCACATCCCCCACGTTATAAAGGATGTTGCTGTGCTGCTACGCGCAACTACCGTGTGCATCTCACTTCGGCAACCTTCAGCGTAAATCCATCGTGGGCCGTGATGAAGTTGATTGAATGGAAAGGTTTTCGCCCGTTGTGCTTGAAAAGGTCGGAGCTGCCGCAAATCCTGCAAAGCACCAAAGCACGTGCAAGCGCTAAGCTGCGAAGCGCTCAAAATCATAGCGATACTTCGAGCAAAGCAAGCGGCGCAAGTGGGCCCGCCAGTTCCAAATTGCGGCTTTGTGTGGGCTTCTAGGCGTCTGTTTTTTGGCTTAGGGTTTTGGGGGTTTCCTTTTTGGGTTTGAGGGCTTGTAACTCGGGTCCCCCCGTCTTAGGGAGGGCTCGCAGCAGCGCAGCACAGAGTGACTCCTTTCAGGGCTCAGAGCTTCCTGACTCCCAGTAGCCATAGTGCCCGCTGCTGGGAGTTAGGGTTCGCTGCGTCTGCTACATCCTTTGGATTACCAACAAGCATCGACCTCTTGTAGGTTTCTTGGGTTTGTGTTATTAAGGTGAAGTACATGTCGTCCACTTCATTCCGTGCCCCAATGGCGCAACCGAGGCTAAGTGGTGGTTCAGTGGCTCCCAAACCAGGATACTGCCCCGGGCACCCTCAGAGGACTCTGAGCCGGGGACCAAAAACACAGAAGTACCAAACAATACCAAACATATGTACCGCAACACAAAAGTACCGGTCACACGTTTCAAGGTCCGCAACAACCAAACAAAAACTCAGGTCGTGCGTTTAACCCAAGTTAGGTCCTGCCTTGTCGCGAAATCACCTTTTTTCCCCGCATCACCTTTAATGAAACACCGAATGGTGTCGCGAAAGATGCCATTCCTCGGAGACTAACGCATGCAGTGACCTCTGTGGCCTTCACGCCGATCCGATTGATTTTTGACATGGCAACAACAATTCCCAAGGCTCCACTCAGCCCATCTTGGTGGTCCACCAGATGGAAACTTGCCAACCAAATAACCTTCCCGTGTCGATCGCGATCATCAACGCATCTATCCACTCTGTGTGCCATCTCTTCAACTCCCTAAGAGTAACTCCATATACTCCATTGACGGGGAGCCGTCCGGCCAGGAGCAATCCCAAGCCTCTGCGATGAATTTGGCTCTCCTCAAGTTCGCGGCCGAATGGAGTAAACACACAAGAAAGCCAACCCGACAATTGCGACAAATAAGTTCTGCAGAAACGGCGTCATGATGCGTCAGGCATAAAGCTATCATATTGTTATATGAGATTACATATGAGACTTGGGGGCCGGGGGGCATTTTTCTCCAGCAGCACTCAGAGCAACCCGAGAGAGACCACACGGAACGCAGATTTCGTGATAGTCGCATGTGGATTATCGTGTTGAAGGACATCAACGTTGTGTCTGTGAGCCATCCAGGTGCAGCGACTCTTTAAGGTATCAAACCTCAAAGAACACATTCTGAACCCTGACAACCGCCGACAGAGGGAGCTTGGCTTGAAAGGATTCTTCTTTGGGCGTGTGCCCTGCGCGGCCCAACACGGCAAGCGTTGCAGGTGCTTGCGTTGCGGAGCCTAAGAACCGTCCTTTGGTCTCTCCTCCCTAGTATTTCCTTAAATGCAGCCTCGGATCTGCAGCTTGGGCTCTTGAGCCATTTTTCGCATGAGCAAGGGATCCATGGAAACCTGCTCTCAACAGAGACTTGTTGATTAATCGCTGAAATCGCTGATTCCGTTCCGAATCTCCGAACCTGGATGACCTGGATGCCTCGCTGAGACTGTGACCCCGGCCTTGCCGTCCCCTCCACGCGTCAGTGCGGATGCTAGATCAAACCTGAACCCATCCACGTGCATTTCGTCCACCCAGTAACCTTAGGATCCGTTGATGCGTTGACCAATTAGTTGCAAATTACTTAAGCTTATTAAGCTTGATGCATCGACGCTTCTGCCCTGGATCGTGGGCGGATTGTGGGACATAGGCTTTCATGCTGGAAAAGGACTCGTCGATTCTAGCAGACGCACAAAGTCAAACGTCTAGCATCATCGTTGTGCAGTATTGTGCAGTATCATCAAGTGTCTCATCAAATCTCGAGCCCGTGGTCCAAGTCACCCTTTCCGGCTAATTTGGATCGGCACAGAAAACTTTCGAGGCGGGACGAGGTGGGGGTCTGAGCGCCAGGATCTGGTAGGGCCGGTGAAGGCGGGCTTGATTTTGTTGCAGGGTGCTTGTTTGCTGGTGCATGTGCGCTCTTTTCTTCTGCCTGCCTGGGGGGGCGGGGGGGGGGGGGTCGGGGGGCTGTTTTTGTTGGCGCTTGCTTCGTCCAAGATGCAGGCAAGTTGCGGGAAAACATGGTCCCGGCGAGCTCCGTGAAGTCCGAGGGTGCGGGGGACATATTATTTTTGCTGGCGCGTTTTTCTGCTGCAGGCGCGGGCCCAATAAATTACTTGCTTACGGGGCGCCCCCCACCTAACGAGAAAGCACACACAGCAAAAAGTATCCACAACAACACACGGGGTCCTGGGAGCACTTCAAGAAACCCCACACCGGTTACGTAATAGTCGTGATGTGGTGCATATACCAACTTGGAAACGCAAGAAGCTGTACATTTTGTACTAACAGGCTTGATTTCCATGCGGAGACAAGTTCTGCGGGTCGAAACCAAAGCCTAGATGAGTGGAACCTTGATTGGCAGGCTAGAATTAACCCATGATGCCATAGCGAGGACTCGCCTTTTTCTCACTTCTTTCTCCCTTCTATTGTTGTTCTTTTCTGTGCAGATCCCACTAGCTTACTGAGTGCGCCTGAAAGTGGCAAGCACAGTGCCTCGATAGTTTCTTCCTCTATGAACGCCGGTTCGCTGCTGGCTTGTGAAAGGGTGGCTGCTTCGTGCTTCGCTGTTGGGGGATCTGTGGGACTGAACACTGTTCAGACCAGCGTCGCCTGGGACGAACCCGGCACCTTGTAACCCCGACATGCGCAAAAGCATGGTTGAAACGTTTTTGGCTAGTGCACGTACTCCGGAATTATTGATTGGCCAGCATTTTGGCGCAACTATGGCTTTGGGCTGGAGATCCCCACCGGTGATCGTTGGCACGAACACCACGTTGCAGATCTGGAGTAACCACTTAATTGTGAGATCGGCGTGTCTCCAGAATTGTGTGCGGGTATCGAGTTAGATTCGTCTTTCTTTACAGTTGTTCGTTGTCTCGCATTTTCGATTTTCTCCCGAACCTTATTGTTGTTGTGGCGGCATTGAAAGATCTATTACAAGTCAGCCATCCCACGCGGGCTGATTATAAATGTGACGCATGGCCCAGCATTGACAAAGATAACATTAAATTCGGAAGGATTCACATGCCAAGCAACAAAGGCAATCTACAATCCAGTCGGAGGCCATGGGGTCGTTGGCGCTGACAGTGTTTCCGCAACCTTCAAAGGCAAGCGTGCATTGCAGCTCCTGTGAGGACACTGCCGACTGCAAAGGCCAAGATGTGCCTGTGTAATTCGTATCCTGGCCATGACTGAGAATGTAATAGCGGTTTTTGGCAATGGCAGCCCAGCTATGCCAGTAGTGCTCGCCCCACGCACCTGTGCAGAGCAAACGTGGGCAGGGCGAATATGTGCAATCTACAGAAACCTCACTTTGTGCTGCATTGTGTCACCACCTTTTCAAGAAAAGTTCTGCTACAATTGGAGGCGTAAAGTGGGACCCCCCCCGCCCGGTAATACTCAAGTGCTCTGTCAACCTGGTTTCTGAAGGGGCACGCTGGCCAGGAGCGTGGGAGATCCTCCGACTTTGAAACTGTGCGGATCTGGAAGGCTAAGGAATGCTGGAGGGGGAGTAAGCTTAGTGTTCTCGTCGCAAGTTGCAAGTGGGTATATACCCGGGCAGCAAGAACGAAGATGGTACATCTTGATAAGTTCCAAGGACCTGAACAATGTGAGGGCCGAGGCACGTAACAACGACAAAAACACATGTATGTAATCCTTTTGACGGGCTTCGAGGCTAACAAAGATGTGGCACGGCAGACGACTGCCTGCGTGACATGCTCGGAATACTGCTCAGTCTGACACCGGGCATCATGGCTGCGTTTGTGATGCACATCTCCTGGACTGGAACTGACTGCTGCTGTTCTTTGCACTTTGTCCGCTTTCGGTATGTGGCATTCGTGTTTCTTCACTTCCCTTCTTCGGTCACTTCTGTGCCCTGCTTCTGCCTTTCGGCGCTTGCCCCTGCTGTGCTGCTGGTTTTGTTGGCTCCGGTAGCATTGCGCTTCCTGCCGCTACTGGACCAAGAGATGGAAAGGTCAGTGACAAAATCAAAAATGAAGAGGTGATAAGAGGTGCCAACATTTCCGCCTTCAGCCGTGTGATTGAAAACCACATCCAGAATCACTTCGATGCCCTGACGGTGAAGCTCTCCTCGGTATGCGGTTCCCAGGTCCCGAACAGGTCAACGAAAGCCCACACACCACACATGTTATGCCGCGCTTCTCACCATTGTCTTGAAACCGACTATAGCGGCGCCAATCCGATCTCCTGAGATTCTCTAGACATGCACAACTTCTCAACTTCAGCATACAAGGCCAGTGGCTGGCAGCATGCCGTTGCAGCGTTGCACTAAGCGTCTGGAGGAGAAACGCTGCATTGGAACATAGAAGTTGACCTTGCTCCAGCTGGAAGTAGCAATCTTACCAGAAACATGAAGGAGATGTGTGTTGTATTGCGTTGTGACATGATGGGTTTGATGATGATTGAAAAATGACACTGTCCAGGCTTGTCCAGTCTATGCAATGCCGAGACGCTGTGGAATATCCCCAGAAATGGCAGAGCTGTTCCCCATTCTCTGGATTCTTCCTTCGTGATACAGCGAAAAGGAAAGAACTCAAACAAATCACGGTTGGGCCATTCAATGGCTTTGGACTACTGGCCGCTTGACGTCCTGTCAGGCGTGACTGTTCGGAAAACCAATCCACGCACATTATTTGCAATCAAAACCTTTCTTTAGTTTCTTTGCCCGTCAACAAAAACTTGGCAGCCATCAAAAACGACTTGCATTGGCAAGACATAGGTCATAGGAACACTGTTGATGCTTGGCCGCGGAGACGTCAAGAGGCTTCACAGACATCGCAAATAGTAAAAAAACATGAGTTTGGCCTCGCGGAAGGTACCAAGTCATCGCCTTCACCCACCGACGTCCTGTGCACCTTTTGAGGTTTACACTGCTTTTCATGTCGCGAAGACGTAGCAGTTTCCTGCTATTCGGCCTTGGACGGATGCCTTCGTATGCCTGTTCTATGGGATTCGCATTTCGCTGCAAGTGGACAAGGTTGTTCGATGGGTTGCCTTTGTGCGTCCGTTCCAAGGATGTTGAATTTCGCTTAGGTGCACATTCCGTACTTGATCATGCTCCTGCCATTGACGCCCGTGTCGAGAATGTGGCAAGGACCCACTTTCCTTCATTTGGGCTCTGGATTTGGGCTCTGGATGGGTCTCGCCTCGCTCCAAATCCCGCCTGGGTCCCGTGGACTTTTTCAATTTAGATGGGGCTCTTCGATGCAGTCATATGTGTTCCAAAGAGGATGTTGTTGCGTTTCGTAGATGTTAATCTTTCTCTCTCGGTGTTTACTTTACCTTCGTTCAATGCAAAGATCTCCTACTCTAAAGCTCTTCCATGCTGGTCCACGCACTTTCCCTTACATGCTTTTTGAATTCCAAGAATACTTCGGAGGAAAACCTCACTCGCATAACGGGTTTGGAAGCACTTTTCCGTGACGGCATGATATACTGTAAAGCAAACTTGCCCCCCCCCCCCCCCCCCCCCCCCCCCCCCCCCGCCCGCCTCCCTTTGCGACACAGCACTTACAGGACAGCTTGGAAAGGATTCATACGTTTTTTGAAGCACTTCAGCAATTCTTTTCGCTGGCGTGACGTCCCGCGCGCACCATGCGTTTGTGAGAGCACCCAGCAAGTCTGGACGCAAAAACCTTCACAGTCCTGGGACACGCAGTCTCATCGAACTCGTAGACAGGCAGTAGCCTGAGCAATCCCTTGCAGACATTCGGACTAGACTAGACCCTCCCAGCTGTCAACTGCGAGCTGAGGATGGAACTCTACTGCATTCACGCCGAGCTTCAGCAGATGAGGGATCTTTTGTATGAAGCCTACAAAGATTTCTATATGTTCTATACTGCTCAGCATTGAACGACAGTACAAACTTGTGGACCTGCCTAGGAATGTACCTGCCGTGGAGTCCCAGTCTTGCAGCTTGCTGTCTGGATTCCTCGGATTTCAACACCACAACTGTCATGGCATGCCATGACTGTCAATCAGCTATACAAGGAGATGCGCTATTGCAACTAGCTGCATGGCCATTCTCAAACCATGCAGACCCAGAATCCGCGTAAATCCTCGCACATGAGTCTCGTAGATCACAAGATCTTTCAAGTGATGGTCTGGAGGCTTCACACCTGCGTCAGGGACATCATGCCATCCGCCATGTGTGAAACACGGATGAGTGCTAGCTAGTGACAGCTCGCGTCCATACAACGCTGAGCACCGATGAGCGTCGCTAAACCCCCAGCCTTGCCAATCGAAGTCATAGAGCGCGCGGCGATCCGGAACAACAGCCATTGGGGAGTATTTAGCACCTGGCTCGTCCGATGTACCCACACAGCCACAACCTAGCCAATTTGGTGTTGAACGGTGCCCTGCCCTCAACCCGACAAGCACAAGCCGCACGATCCCTTGGCTACATTCGGGTGGAAATGCGAGAAATCCATGCTCTGAACGCCCAAAAATTCGCCTCGGCTTCCTGCCGAGAAGCGTCTGGAACAAGCAGACCCGGATCGGGCCTCCTTCCCCCTAACCCAACCCTTCCCCCCTTGCAAAATTTTCTGACGCCACCCCCCCCCCCCCCCCCCCCCCTGTGGGACCCCCCCCAATCGCTTGGAGGAGCTGCAAACTGTCCGTGGCCCCCCCCCCCCCCCCCCCCTTTGCCCTTTGACCCCTCTGCCCTTCCTCTTTGCGAAACCCTGTTTCCTCCTTTCCTGTCCTGGGGCCGGCCCGGCTGCCGAGGCGGCGCACGCAAGCGTTTACAATTAAGGTGGCAAATGGCGATGGACGCATTTCAACCCTTTTCAACCCAAATCTTGGCCAGTGACGCCCTCTCGTTTGTTCCAATCTCTCGCATAGCGAGAATCCAAACACTTGGCGCAAGGATCCAGGATCCTCGTTGCGCCCTTGGGACAGCATCACAGAAGCATGAAGGGCGAATGTCGCCACCATGGTCCTTTCTTTATCTTTTATTGACATGATCACATACATCTCCCTACCCTACCTCTCATGTGAAAATTCTCATCGCACTTCAGTCGCTGCCTGTGGCCTGCCATCCTTTGGATCCAGGATCCACCTGGCATCGGGCGGAATCAATCTTACGCAACCAGACGCACACTTCAGTTGTTTGCGGGATCTGTGACAACATTGTAAGCCCTTACGTTTGGCATTCATCCCGCGTACTGAACACTGCAAAAGCACCGAGCAACCCATGACACAAACTTTTTGTCTGGGATTCGCAATGACAGGGGAATGCTAGGCCGAGGATGTCCTGGCACCATCAGGCACTGCATCGTTGATTGCAGGCATGCGCAAACTGACGTTGCTGATCACTGAAAATCCCCGACCTTGGCTGGATCGCCCGCACCCTACGGCAGCAAGGAATCCGAGTAAGCTTGAGTTTTCTCAGTTGTACACGAGGGACACCGCAAAATGCCAACGCCCCTGAAGTCTTTGTCTGCCGTGAAACTTGTGTCATGCAATGGCAATATATGGCAATGTACCCTCTTCAAAAACTCCCACGCCCCTCAAAAGCATCTCAAAAGCCTTGCCCAGCTTGTGCTTAAACGAATCAACTGAAAGGACGGGCATTGTGACATTTCGAGTTTGGAATTGATGGGGATGGGGAAGTGCGCGGTGCGATCTACACGGTGGTTGGCATACTGTTTGCAGTCGCTTGTTCTATTGCTGGCTCAGACTCCTTGTGAATGCCTCTACTGACCTACACATACTACAGCTGCCAGCATCGTTGGCGTGGCAGCTCCATGTAAAACGCCTGGGAGGCTCGCGCATCGGAACATGCAGGGGAAATTCTCCAACGGCACAGAAGGAATCGTGCACATTGCCAGATAGTATGATACATGGTCCTTAGAGATGGACGTGTGCTGCACATTTGTCGACAAATTTCCTTCTGCGCTGTACAGGGAGACCTTGGGGAGGTGGCCCGCGCCACCTCTGACGGAGGCAAGCCTGTTTGAAGCATCAAGCCTCACACGAATACCGAACGCAACCTCGACGGACGGACCGAATACAGCTTATCGGTTTGCTACACAGCTCCACTTTTGGGTGGGGACGGCGATCTCCATTCTCATTATCATGATGGTCCGGGGTCTGCTTTCGTCTGCTGCATGCTGAAAGCGTTTGCTTGGCGCTTGCAGCCTGGTGCTCAGCGGTGCCTGGGCTCTGGTCAGATTGCACAAGAGCCCTTGCGCCCCTGCCCTGCCAACAAGTCTTTGGCTCCATTGAAAAACATTCCAAACATCTGCATAGCACATGTTCACAATACAGCGCCTGAGATCTGATTTGAAACTGTCTGAACTCGTCTGCAAAGCATTGCAAAGCCCTTTAGGCTTGCATATGCTTGCATCTGCTCTGATGGCAGTCGCAGAGGGCACCAGTTGAAACGTGGGTCTCCCACGGTCTCCCTGATCTGTCATTATCCTACACCATCCAGTTGGCAAGGTCTGCTTCTCGCTTCAGATCCTTTTGGACACCCTTACTGAAGCCTTGTAACCCTGGTATTGTTGCAGACATCGCGTCGGAACATAGTGAGACTTTTTCAGACAATTCGATCAAGCCTGGCGGCACCCTGGCGGCACCCTGGCGGCCAATCCAGACGTGGTCACTTCAGGGCACCTGGATTTGCAAATTGCATGCGCAGCCAGGCATCAGGGCCCAACCAAAGAGGGCCAGAGCTGGGGTCCTAGAGCAAATCCTGCGCAATGGCGTAGGTACTGTAGTTAATATCTCCGAAATTCTCCGAACTTTAAAATAATCCCAGCAGGTATCCCCAACGCAGCAGAACGCGCAAAGGCAAGCGCACGCTCCGAATCCAATAGCAGCTAGCTAGTGGTTGTAACGTGCGCTGACTCCTTGAGCACACGCTTTTTCGGATTGCTTACATGGCTTCTTGAAGCGCATGGTGGCTTTGAAGCCGCACGCTCGCTCATGCGGTCTCCCTCTGTTTCCGTTCATGCGGGTGGGCTTTGCCGTTCCTGGGCTCTTCGTCTCCCTTTGTCTCGATTTGCTTCATGTGGGTGGCCATTGCCAGGTTCCTGGGCTCCCTGTCTTCCTTTGACTTCCTTGTCATGCGGGTGGCTGGGTTCCTGGGCCCCCGTTGTCTCCCTCCATTGCCGGTTCCTGAGCTACCCTTTGTCTCCCTTTTCTCCGTTAATGTGGGTGCCTTTTGCCGGAGTCCTGGGCTCCTTGTCTGCCTTTCTCTCCCTTTGTCTCGTTTTTTTTCTCTCTCTATTCATGTGGATTCTTAACTCCTTGTCTCCTTCTCAATTCAAAATTTATTTGAGGAGTGGGTTGTCATCCTGCGCTCCACGTCTCCCTTTGTCTCGTTTCATAGGTGGCTTTTGTCTTATCGAGTCCTCTTTTCTGAGCTTATCGTCATCGTGGGCCCACCGTTTTTTTCTTATTTTCGGGGTTTTTATAAATCCGAAACTATGGCCCTATGTGGTCCTGAATTCCCGCCCCGTAAGGCTTAGTAGGCCAGGAGCGAATGATTTGGGCATCGGTCCTGGATGCGAAGTAAGGAATCGCAGCTTTCTGCGGCAGCCCGGCAATTGCTTACTTACGCCTCAAGCAACTCAAGACATCCTTGCTTATCGTCATGGTGGGCCCGCCGGCCTGGGCAATTGCCAGCTTAAGCCTCAAACAATTCAAAATATCCGGGTTTATCGTCATCATGGGCCCGCCGGGCATTGGAATTATTTTCGGGGTTTTATTAATCCAAACTCTGGCCCAAAATGGTCCTGAACTCCGTCCCATAAGGGGTAGGTCAGGAGCGAATGATTTGGGCATCGATCCTGGATGCGAAGTAGTAAGGAATCGAAGTTTTCTGCTGCAGCCTCCAACTCCCAACAATCCGAAAGCGCGTGGGCAATTGCTTAGTTATGCCTTAAGCAAGTCAAAATCCCCGGGCTTAAGGTCATCGTGGAGCTGCCGGAATTCCATTGTGGGTGTTTTATTCTTCCCGGTATCCTTCAGCATTTCCATTTTTTGGGCCGCTAGTGTTGTTTGTTGAAACCTTAGGTTTTTTTCTGCATTTTGAGGGCTTTGGCTCCCGGAATGGAAAGTAGTCTTTTGGAGGGTTCGGGCCGAGAATTAGGTTCTATTCATCACATCCTCGGACTGCCTCTGACCTTTACATTCCAGTAGATTCGTCATGCCCGCCAGGCCTAAATTTCTGGCTGCAGGGTGCGGGGTTTTTCTTGCGGTGGCACCGGTGCAAGTCGGAACACGGCGGGAGTTTTTGACGGGGATTTGTTGAAGGCAGCGAACGCTTGAGGTATGGGAGGCAGCCGCTGAATTCGATAGCCTGAGGAGGATGCAGCGCAATTAAACAATGGAGGATGGAGTAGCTCTGGAATGCACAAGTACAAACAAAGCGTCCCAGATAAATTTCGTCACAACCAAAGCAGTTCTTATACTGGGCTGGGCGGCAAATACGCTCACACGACAAATCAGGCAACGACCCGGCTACGGCTACTGTAGCCAATGCTAACTTAGCTGACCGATGGCACTGCACTTCTTTGATCTTCTTTGTATGCAACGGATGCTCAAGCGGTCCAGCAGCACGACAAGCACCGTACTGGGGCTCCAACACCAATTGGGCGTCGGGGTCTCGTTGGCATGCCAGCAGCAGGTAGGTGTAGAAGACCCAGCCTCTTCCGAAGGCAACATGAACTGTGAGTGGAAACGACCACGGTATTCGTTTTGTTTCGGGTTGAGCTGTTGGGGTCGGACACACTCGCCACGTGCTTGTCCTCTTCTGTTTGCAACTAGCTTTTCAAGACGAACTCCAAACGACGTGCCGTTTTTTTGCGAAGAACATTGCTTCCCTTGAACGGCACTGAAGCATCTCCCTTGGCCTCTGAAGAGCCTAGTGTGTTGATTTGAGCAACGCTTCCACTTCCAGCTGCCCTGACAAAGCGAAATGCCCTAAGTGCAGGGCGAATCACTACCTGCGAATTAAAACACAACAAACCTGGTGCAGAGGACTGCTTCACGGTGTGCCGATGCGCCCAGGTACGCTGCGCCCACGTGCGCACGGCTTTATAAGATATTGGTCGAAGCAGGTTGTTGGTTGTTTCTGCGGCTGCGGTTGGTGTTGTTGGTGTTGTTGGTGCTGTTGGTGCTGTTGGTGTTGTTGGGTTGCTGGTGTGTTGTTGCTGTTGGTGTTGTTGGTGTTGCTGGTGCTGTTGGTGCTGTTGGTGCTGCTGGTTCGGTTGGTGCTGTTGGTGCTGTTGGTGCTGTTGGTGGCGTTGGCGTCGTCGTCGTCGTCGTCGTCGTCGCCGCTGGTGGTGTTGTTGTTGTTGTTGTTGTTGTTGTTGTTGTTGTTGTTGTTGTTGTTGTTGTTGTTGTTGTTGCTGTTGTTGTTGTTGTTGTTGTTGTTGTTGTTGTTGTTGTTGTTGTTGTTGTTGTTGTTGCTGCTGTTGTTGTTGTTGTTGCTGCTGCTGGTGTTGTTGTTGTTGTTGTTGTTGTTGCTGCTGCTGCTGCTGCTGCTGCTGTTGTTGTTGTTGTTGGTTGCTGTTGGTGCTGTTGGTGCTGTTGGTGCTGTTGGTGCTGTTGGTGGCGGTGGCGTCGTCGTCGTCGTCGTCGCCGCTGGTGTTGTTGTTGTTGTTGTTGTTGTTGTTGTTGTTGTTGTTGTTGTTGTTGTTGTTGTTGTTGTTGTGGTGGTGGTGGTGGTGGTGGTGGTGGTGGTGGTGGTGGTGGTGGTGCTGCTGCTGGTGGTGGTGGTGGTGGTGGTGGTTGCTGCTGCTTTGCTGCTTTGCTGCTGTTGTTGCTGTTGCTGATGGTGGTGTCGATGACGGTGGCGGTGGCGGTGGCGTTGGCGGACGTTAATGATATCAGAATCATTGGCCGGTTGTTCATGTTGGGTGTTCTTGTTGGTTGTTATTGTTCTTGCTCTTGCGGTTGTTGGTACTGGTACTGTTGCGGTTGCTGTTGTTGGAACCGTGCATCAATGTCAAGCACCAGCTCAGAAAGGTCGTGTTTCGGGTGGACGATGAAGAACCTGCAAACCCGCAAGCCCACCCCGACACCCTCCCTCCCTCTCCCCTTCCTCTT